CCAGTGTCTTGAGTTGCAGTGTTAGGTCATGCATTTGGGTTCTTTCTAATTTTTTAACGTAGGCACTTAGAGCTATAAACTTCCCTCTTAGGGCTGCTTTAAAAGTGTCCCAGAGGTTGTGTTGTGTTTATTGTCCTTTTCCTTGAATTCCAGGAATTCTTTTGTTTCTTTCTTAATTTTTCCTTTGACCCACTCATTGTTTAGGAGTGTGTTGTTTAATGGCCATGAGTTTGTGTAGTGACTAGGGCTTTGTCTGGTGTTGATTTTGAGCTTTATTGCATTGTGGTCTGATAGAATGCATGGAATTATTTCAATCATTTTGTGTTTCTTCAGTTGAGGTTTTGTGGCCCAGTATGTGGTCAATTTTTGAAAAAGTTCCATGGGTTCCTGAGTAGAAAGTGTATTCTTTGGTGCTTGGTTGAATATTCAAAAGATGTCTTTTAGGTCCATTTGATGTATGGTATCATTTAATTCAAATGTCTCTTAGGGTTAATCTGTGTCTTAAAGTCCAAAAGTGTTGTTTTTATGAATATTGGTGCACCAGAGTTAGGTGCATATATGTTAAGGATTGTAATATCTTCTTGGTTAATTGTTCCTTTGATCAAAATGAAGTGAGCCTCCTTATCTCTTCTGATTAGTTTTACTTTGAAGTCTATTTTGTCAAATATTAGAATTGCAACACCTGCTTGTTTCTCAGTGCCATTTGCTTGCGACTATTCTTTTCCATCCTTTTCCTTTAAGGTGGTGCCTGTCCTTGAAGGGGAGATGGGTTTCTTGTAGACAGCAAAGAGATGGATTTTGTTTCTTAATCCATTCAGTTAGCTTGTGTCTTTTGACTGGGGAATTCAGGCAATTGATATTTAAGGTTACTATTGAAAGATGTGTATTGGCTGCCGTCAATTTGATTGCTGTTTGTGTTCTCTAACTTTGTGTTTCCTAGATTATACCTTTATTTTCTTTTGTTGCCCCTGGGGTATAGTTTCTCTCTCTGCTCTCTGTATTGCTTCAAGTATTCTCTGAAGGGCTGGTTTTGTGGACTTTTATTCTTTTAGGCTATTCATGCCATGGAAGATTTTTCTTTCTTCTTCAACTATAATAGATATTTTTGCTGGGTAAAGTATTCTGGGCTGGCATCTATTGTCATGTAGAAATGGAAATACCTTAGTCCAGTCTCTTCTGGTTTTCATAATTTGCATTGATAAGTCAGGTGTAATTCTGATTGGCTTTCCTTTGTGAGTTTTCTTTTGCTGCTTTCAGTATTCTGTCTTTGTTCTGTACATTTAGTGTTTTTACTATGATATGTTGTGGGGAGTTTCTTTTTTGATCCTATCTATTTGGGGTTCTATGTACTTTCTGTATTTTTATGGGGATGTCTTTCCTTAATTTTTGGAAATTCTCTTGTACAGTCCTGTTTAAGATCTGGTCAATACCATTAACCTGAACTTCTTCTTCCTCTATTCCTATGATCCATAGATTTGGTCTTTTTATGGTTTCCTACATCTCTTCCATATTCCATTCCTGTGGGTTTTTTTTTTTAATTTTCCATAATCTTTGCTTGAGTGGTCCAATTCTTCAACTTTATCCTCCAGTGTTGATATTGTTTTCCATTTCATTCCTTCTAGTGGTGAGGCTTTCCTCTGTTTCAAGTTGGCTTATTGAGTTTTGCACTTCATTTCTGCCTAAGTTTTCTTCAATGTTTCTCTTTTGTGAATTCATTCAGAAGTTTATCCCTATCTTCTTTTAGTTCTTTGTTTGTTCATGTGTTCTTTAAATTCATTGAATTCCTTGGTCATTTTTACGATTGTTCTTTTAAATTCAGTGTCCTGGGTTATCTCTAGGGGGTTCTCCTTGTAGAACTCTTCTACAGAAATGGTAGAGTTTGGTGGGGACATAGTGTTTTGGCTTTCCATTTTATTATTCTTTCATTGTGATTTTGGCATGTGAATTTATGATTCTGATATGAGAATTAAGTTGATGTATGGTTCTGTTTGTATATCAGGCTGCCTAGGTCCTTTCCTTATTGGTTATGCAAAGCTGGTTGGTACAGGTTTCAGGTTCTCTCATTTTATTTCGGAGGGAACTGATGGCTTCAGATCAGCTATTCAGGGGCACCCACAGAAGCCCAAGTCAGGTTCCAGTCAGATACACTCAGGCTTCTAAGGTTTGAATCCCACCACATGGAGGCAGGATCCGGGCACGTTCAGGCAGTCCCCTGCATTCTCAGCCCTTATGCCAGAGGGAGGCCAGAACCCAGCACTCTCTGGCAGTCTGCTGCTACACTGATGGAGGTCAGAACCCACCCTCTCAGGCTGTCTGCTAGGATCTCCAGAGCTTTTTCTTCTTGTATTTGAGACAAGATTTCACCATACAACACCCAGGCTGGCCAGAAAAACTCACAATCCTCCTATCTCTACTTCCTAAGCACTGGGAATACAGGGGTACAGCACCTCTCCTAGCTCAGGACTTCTGCACAGTGCTGTACATCCACCTCACAACTAAACATATCCAAATGATTTGTGAAATTCTAGTGGATTTCATGGCTATTCAATTTGAAAAGAGCAAAAATACCCATAGGGTCAGCAGAATATGAATTTTAATTTTGTTGGCAAGTCTTAAAATGGCCTTACTCCTTGAGATGTTTTGTAATTAGTATACACTCCATGCATACTCCTTGCAAATCTTCAGATCAGGTAGACACAAGACCATTATAGCTTCAAAAAGCAAAGGCTGTGGACACTGCTGGCAGCCAACCATACTTGTCCATGGACCTTTACCCAAGGCAAGAATTCTTCCAAAAGAGAAAACGTGCGATTTTTCAGGCATTGAGGGAGTTAGAGAGCTCAACCTAATCTACTGAGAACTAACTTCTGGAAAGTAATCAAGTAAACAAGAATAATTACCTAATTAATCTTAGAAGAGAAACCAAGGTGAAGACTGACAGGCAGATTCTGGAGGATTCCTTGGGGCTTTATCAAGTTAAGCATCTTAAGTTCTTATGCCTATATTCTGAGTGTGATAGACTGAAGTTCTTTCACACTGAAATGAAACAGACTGCTCATGCACTAGGCCCATGCTACAAACTGAAAGAACTTGTGTGGCAACCAACTGACCAGAGAAGGAAAGCTCATAAATCCCAGGGTTTGATTTGGGGAGCACATTTTATTTTACAGTACCACAGAATTGACATATACCAGCAGCATCATTTTAAAACAAATTACTGTTGAAAACTCATACATGGGAAATATATTACTAAAATGGTAAACAACAAGGACAACACAAAAAGGTGCTTTAAAGAGCAACTGATGGTCCGGCGTGGTGGCGCACGCCTTTAATCCCAGCACTAGGGAGGCAGAGGCAGAGGCAGGCAGATCTCTGTGAGCTCAAGGCCAGCCTGGTCTACATAGTGAGTTCCAGGACAGCTGGGGCTACAGGGAGACCCTGTCTCAAATAGACCAAAAAAAAAAGCAACTGATAAAAATATTTGGAAAAATTATATCAACAAAAATAAAAACAATTTTAACATACTTCAAATATGTCAAAAATATATATGCATGCTTATCTTCACATTCTGGGAGCCAAGAAAATATTTACATTTAAATAGAGATTTTTATTTGAAATAAGCAAAACAAAAATAGAAACACTGGTTTTTAATACATATAATATCTATAATATAAAGATTATTCACATAATACATTCTGATAGTTCTTTCATCATTCTATAGTACCCACATATAATTTATAAACTCTCATCTCTAAGTTGAGAGTCTAAATTCAATAAGTACTATACAAAGAACAGTTACAAAATTGTCTGCAAGACATTCTCAGACTGGGGAGGGAATCATACCAAAGGTTTTCTGAAGAATTGGGTCTGAAAGCAGACAGGAAACCTGCTGGATTCCCAAGGCAAGAGAGTGTGCTCTGGCAAGTTACCTGAAGCAAGAGCAATGGACATTTTGGGGTTCAGAGAAATGTGTCAAAGGGGAAAGAAAGGCACTGCCACTTCTTTGTTCATCCATGTTCCGTTTGACTACAGCATCATAGTGGTGAGCGACTGGAAATACGTCCCAATAAACCACAGACAGAGTCCTTTCTCTCTAGCCAGACAATGGACCATGGGGTTGCTACTTATTTGTCACACATCTATTTCGATGAGCAAAGGTATAAAACCCAGATTTCACTAGGACCTTGTGTGGTTAGCCCTGAGTAGTAGGAAAAGTATTTCTAGTCCTTATCCCCATGCAAGCCATTCAACCAACATGCTGATGCTGCAAAAGAAACCCCAGTTGTGGTGACAGGGCTTTTTATCAGACCTGGACTTGGTGACAGGCATTGCCCTGCAACTGTGACCTCTTTTTATATTTCAATAAGGTGTGCAAGTCTCACAGTGGGGCTGGAAACTGTTTGTCTTATACTGTTACTACAGTCTAATATTTCAAAAATTTCCCTTAAAATGGCATTTCACTTGAATCTCATGAAAGCTTTTGAGGAAGCCAGGACAGGCATCCCAGTGCTCAGTGTATAGAGAACAGAGGCTGAGGGGGAGCCACGTGACTCTGCTCCTCCAGGTACTCACACACCAAGGAACTAGAACAGGTCACCTGTGGAACTTAGCTCTTTAATACTTACCTTCTATTTTTATTTGTGTGTGTGTGTGTGTGTGTGTGTGTGTGTGTGTGTGTGTGTGCATGTGCATACAGGTATCCATGGAGATTAGAAGAGGGCATCAGAATCAGAGTCCCTGGAACTGGAATTACAGATGGTTGTAAGCCACACGATGTGGGTGCTGGGAACTGAACTCAAGTCCTCTGAAAAAGCAGCAAGCACTTTTAATCACTGAACCATCTCTCCAGCTCCATGACCTGATTGTTTTAAGTGATCAATAAAATTGACAAATTTCTAACAAGACTGATGAAAGAAAAATGAAAATATAAATTATCAATATTGAGAGTGAAACAAGATATCACTATAGACTCTGCAGACACCAGAAGGATAATTATGTATGTATGTATAGGTGCTGAAGAGGCCAGAAGGCCACCTGCCTTGGGTGCTGGGAACTGAACTCAGGTTCTCTACAAGTGCTCTTAACTGCGGAGCCATTTCTCCAACCCCTTTAAAACTTTTAAGGATAGAGGTTTGGTGATAGTTGTGTTCTGAAGAATGAAGGAATTCAAAGGGGATCAAAACTGGTAGAAAGTGAGTTAAAGATGAAAAGAAATGGAGAGACAAATGGTGCCACTTGGCAGTTAGTGTTATAAGCTTAAATAAGCAAAGCACACTTCACATGTAGAACAAGGAAAATTTTAAAAATATTTAAATACTTTAATCTTTCAAATGGTCTTATTTAGCCCTTGATTACTAAGGCTGCATCAGACCACAAGGAACTTTTACATGCAGTCCACCATTTCCCCAGAGACTAGTGAAAATGTTACAGCTTGTTCCCAGAGCTCTGCCTCAGCACAGTGTTCTTGTGCTCGCTCGCTCGCTCCCCCACCCCTGGATTCTCTTGGATGTGGCTCTCTGTAAATTAAGGGCAATAAACATTTTAGCTATGTCCTTAGCTTTTTCTCTTTTGAGCTAAGTTGTAAAAATACCGTACTAACTCGGAGCTTTTATCATTTTCAATGTGGGCCTCATTTTGTTCCATTTTGATACTTGCTGGAAACAAAAAAAATGTTTAAATGACCATAACAACTAATTTAGAAAGCTGTCATGTTCCACATAAACGTTCCAAGAAATTTTGCTGACTTGATAGAACATAAAACACAACTGTATTGATTCTATAAGCAGTGTTGCACTTAATAAGAAAAACACTGTGTGTTAACCCACAAAATGAAAAGCGCAGACTTAAGGTTCTGATATATGATACAGTGAACTGCTCAGTTCTTATTTTCACCAGTGAGTGTCCTTTAAAGAAACAGTTATGTTAAAAAGGAAGCCACTCATGACACCATTGTGGAACACATGCAAAAGCTGCATAAAGCCCTTTGTTCTTCGGGCACCTGCCCCCACTGCCTTCTCAGACATCACACACTACAAATGTCACACCAGCAGCATTCCCCCACCCTGAACTGAACAAGTGAGGCACCAAAAGGTACATTATACTTTGGCAAGCAGGCTATCGGATAATTCTTTGAGCTTCTCTGAGGTAGTGGAGTCCCTCCTCCTACTATTCTGGTGGATCAAAAACATCTAGGTTGCTGAACTAACAAACAGGTGGAGTGCTGGTTGCTGTATTTACACATTGTTCAGAAATGAGTGGCTTGTATGACCATTGCATACTTCAGAGGCTTTAGTAGAACCCTCATCGTTAAATGGAGAACACAAAAACGCTACAGTTGCCACATTAGGAGGTTAAACATTGCTTCCCAAGGGCATTGTGCAATTCATCACAACTTTGACTTAATTCCTGTATGTTTTTCCTGCTTAACATACAGTTAGGTGCTCAATAAATATGGGATGGTATAGAATGTTCAAGATCTTTGATTTGGCTCCATGAGATACAAACAAAACCAGCATTTGAAAATCCAACCAGCTGTAGGTTCAAAGTCTAGATGCATGGACTCCCTCATAACTTTCAGCCTATGAGAGGATTAAGTTCAGATGTCTTGTGCATGGCATAGAGTACAATTCCATCTCTCTTAACTCCTTCTATGAGACACTCTTGACTCTATCCTGGTCCTACTATGATGATATGGTCGTGGGATTTCTATCTATAAATAACTTCTCCGAAGACAGCGTGATCCACTCTCTCTGTTGTTCTTCAAGCTTTTCTGCCAGGCATTTAATCAAGATAGGGTCCACCTTAGAATCAAATTTGTTAGCAAACCAGTGCCCATCTTTTATAAGCCACCTTAATTCTGCAGCTCCATAAATGCACACACTGCGAAGGTGTGAGCCAGTACAACTGGGATAGAAAAAGCCTTCATAATAGTTCCATTTGACTAGGCGGGTCTTACTCTGTAGGTCTGACACATCTTGGGCTGATCTGGAAATCTCCCCAGGTATTCCTGGTATCCGGATTAAGGTAGCCCAGAAGTGCTCATCAGGAGAGTATGTATCTTTAGACCAGGCAAAAAAGTCTTCAATGAGGGAATTATTAAAAATATATTTAACAAATGCTTGGCTTAAAACAAAATAGGCACTGCCTACAAATATCTCAATGTTATGAGGGGGTGCCTCCTTGGAGATGTTTGTCCTTACTGGTAGCTTCACATACTCATAAGGCACTTGTCTGAGTTCATGGTGATAAGTGAACCTTTCCATTTTACTGTTAGGAGGTTTCACTGTCTCTAACATATTTGCTCCATTGAGTTTTTTCAGTTCGGATACTAATTCGAAATTTGACTTCAGGGGAAAGTCTTGTCCACACAGGTTGATGACATACTTCCAGTGCACTGAAGACTTGAGAAGGTCTGATAAACAATTCAAATCAGCTTGGAGTCTGGAAATGTGGGCATATTCCACAGCCTCTAGTTTTGAAGCAATGAAGATATTGGAGAAACACTTAGCTAAGTTGTTCATAGCAACTTTGAATGTATCTGGTGACTTAAGGTCATAATGGATGCAGTAAATATTGTGCTGGTTGTATATAGCATGGATAAGCCTTTCAACCATAACTGCATCTTTGTGGACAACCAATGAATAGGCTATAGGGAAGCTCTTCTCCTCTCTTGAAACAGGCTTTTCATGGTACCTTCTTAGAGTCTGATAAATGTCACAATCACTTGTCACTGCCACAACATCATCGTCTTCCAAGTCAACGATGTCATGTCTTCGGATTTCTAGACTCTTGCCAATTTCCAAAGGCTCCTGTTCATAAATCCCTGAACAGTTAACATCATACCTGACTTCATCCTTGATGTGGGTGTATCTATTTCTTACAAAAGGCGAGGTACTTAGAGAGTATTCAACCAAGTAAATGTCTCTTTGAGGGAAGAGGAGTCTTCCCACATTTAGAAGCTTTAACAAGGAGAATAGCCATAGGGTTAAGAATAAGATGAAAACTTTCTGCTGGAGGGTATATTTAAAGCAACATTTGAATATCTTCATTCTGTAGGGAAGAAGGGGTTGATAATTGTTAATTAAATAGAAAAATCAATTCAGTTTCTCTTAAGTTTATTGGGTACCTACCTACTACATGCCTTGCAAAGTACTGAGCAAAAAGATAAAAAAAATCCTTGAACAAATCCAGAAATAATGAAATAGAAATTATATTAAGTCATGATACTTTGTGATGGTCTGTGTTAACTACACTTTGAGAGATGTTGATTCTCAAACAAAATGGAAGATAAATTCCTAAAATATAAATACAGTTGTTCCCTGGTATGGTGGAGGACTGACTGGTTCCAGGATCCCCCAGGGAATTACCAAAATTCATAGATGTTCAAGTTCCTTATACAAATGGGTATTTGCATACAGTCTATGCACTAGCTCCTGTGAGTTTTTCTGTTTCTAGATCACTTACGATACCTAATGCAGTACTTACATATCAATTTATTCATGTGGATTCAGCACAGAACTTGGTGCAGGGCAAATTCAAGGTTTGCTTCTAGGGATTTCCTAGAATTTTTTTTCTGGACATTTTTTTGATGCAAGTTTGGTTAAATTTGCAAAGTGGCCCACAGATACAGAGGGCTGACTGTACCACGTGTCTTATATAGTCTGCATTTCATTTTAGCATATTTGAGGATGGATTGCTGTGGTTTGGGCAGAAGTCTTATAATAGAAAAGGTCCAACATTCGTTCAGTGTAGAGATATAAAAATGTTCTTGGACTTGTACTGTGTTGCCTTGATTGTGGAAGAGACATTTTTTCACAGCTTTGTAACAATAGGCATGAACCTTGACCTTTGAGCCCAAGTGGCTAGGACTCTGTCAGCCCTCCTAGTGGGGGGGAGAAGGCACAATAGATCTAAGGCATATGTATGACATGATCTGTTTGCAATGGCAAAACTGATTCCATTTTGTTCTAGCTGACTTTTGCTTTACCCTGTGTTTTTGCCCAGACATTCCCATTGCAGCCAGCCAGGCAGAATGTCTCATTAAGGTAGTTTCAAAGAGTACAATGTTTCTCCAATACTGGGAAAGTTACAAGTAGCCAGGTGATGTCCAGATAGCACATCCTCCTTCCCAGCTATACCTGCATCTCTATGGAGCCCACTGTCTCTAATTCTGAGAAACTTCTAGTTTCTAAGTGGATAGTCTCACCACATGTGGAGACAGAAAACAGGGGACAGGTGAGCATATTAGCATAGCTCTCACAGCACTGAGGTTGAGCACCTGCAGGATTTCCATGTGGGGATGCACCCCCCCCCCCAGGCAATTAGAAAGGCCACCACTGAAGCTTGGGTGAGAGATGGGGGGCTGGAGAGAAATGTGTCAGTAACGTTAATATTTGAATTAATAGTTCAAATTTAGAGGGCCAGGATGAGTGTGTGTGCAAGAGCAGTAAGCTAAGAAAAGGACCCTGGGGCAACTACAGAAGTAGACTGAGATGGCCAGAGAGAATGGGATTCTGCAGTAAAGTTCAAGGTCACCAAGCTGCAGCCCCAGAACCCCAAGCACATGTGTACAGTTGGGTGCTGTGATAAGACAAGAGATTAATCACTTTGAAGTACATACATATAAGCATATATATGAATATAAGCATTTCACATATAAACACTCTATATATTTATATGTATTGTCCTAATTTGTGGTAATTAGGCATAAAAGGGAAGCAGCTAGAATGGCTAGAATCAGGAGTCTAATCCAAAGTAAAATTTTGCTCTTTCTTTCCTTGCTTCATAGGTCCAGGGAATCTTTTTAATATTTTATTTATTACACTTGGAAGTACATACATATAAGCATATATATGAATATAAGCATTTCACATATAAACACTCTATATATTTATATGTATTGTCCTAATTTGTGGTAATTAGGCATAAAAGGGAAGCAGCTAGAATGGCTAGAATCAGGAGTCTAATCCAAAGTAAAATTTTGCTCTTTCTTTCCTTGCTTCATAGGTCCAGGGAATCTTTTTAA